GACTCCACTCAGGGTCTCAATCTCTCTCTCTTTTTGGTGCACACACATGTGCTCTCTATTATTAATAAATAAACTTTAGAAAATCTTTTTTTTTTTTTTGAGAGGTTTTCACTATAGGGCGCATGCGCTCGCTAGACAGACAGAGAGAGACAGAGAGACAGAAAGCGAGAAATCACCCCCCAGGGGGATGGCCACGCCGTAATCGCTTCTCCTCCATTCTCCTCTCGGGATCTTGGGCACGCAGCCCAGCGTGAGTTTTAAGCCAGAGTCCGGACACAAACCACAGTTGACTACGTGGAAGTTCAGCGACATAGCCATTACGCTAACTGCTGGTTCCCCCCCAAGAAAATCTTTTGTTGTTAGAGGAAGAAGTACTTAAATCTTCCACCACATCTTCCCCCCCCCACCCCCCCCCCCCCAAAAAAAAAAAAAAAAAGATGCTATACAGGCTAGCACAGCCCTTCCGGGAAGCCTGCTTCCCTGACATTTTATCTGTGGGGATTAGGTTCAGCTGTAATTGAAGAAAAATTAGGAGTAACAGTGCTTTCAGCCAGGGGTTCTCAAACTTGAACATGCATCAAAATTGCTCAGAGAGGGGACCAGCAGGTGGCATGGTAGTTAAGGTGCTGGACACTCCTACATGGTCAACCAGGGTTTGAGTCTTGGACCTGGTGGCTTGCTTTCTCGCTTTCTCTCTCTCTCTCTCTCTCTCTCTCTCTCTGTCTCTCTCTGGTCAAACTTAAATGAATTAATTTTAAAAATAGGGACCAGCAGTTGGCTTAGTCGCTGGGCTCCCATGCAGTTGACAGCAGTTTGAGTCCCGGACCTGGTGGCTTAAACTTACGCCGATGTGTGCATGCGTGCCAAAGATCCCAAGAATAGAATGGAGGAGAAGGGATTGCGGCATGGCCATCCCTCCTGGGGGGTCAGGACATGCTGCTGAGATGGGTGCTCTTGTGCAGTGCACAACCTGAACACGTGTACTGAGCAGCCTTGCTTTCAGGCAGGAATCGGGCCAAAACCACAGAGAGTTTAGCCAAGGTTGTCGCAGAAGCAGAAGTACTAGGGGAGGAGTTGCACACGTGCCAGAATAGGCATGACTAGAGAGCCCAGTAGGACTGCCCAAGCTTTGAAATTACTGAAATTCAGTAAGGCTTAGCCTGAAGCTGGGGCAATCTGGATCTGCACTCCGCTGGGTTTCAGAGCCCCATGCCTGTGATCAGTCTATGTTCAGGAGACTTCCTGGGCCTGGGGGTAGCTGCTCATCTGTCCAGGATAAGAGGATTTCTTTCTCAGATGAACTTCGGTGAAGGGTGTCATGGGAAGAGGGTGGTGGCCCTAAATAGCAAATGTTGGGGTCCTGAAGGACCAGAGTAGGGACACAGGGTCTGGGGATTGCTGACCGCCCTGGGAGGAAGGAAGCAGTAGGGGGTGTTGGCTGCTTCCAGTGCTCTCCGGTGCTGGCCCATTCCTGGAGTGACCCCAGCTCTGCGGCCTGTTCAGTGTCCCACAGACCCAGCACTGCTGGGACAAAGGCAGCCCATGCCTCGCATTCTGGGAACCCAGGGCTCTGAGTGCCTGTCAGGCGAGGGGAGAGGAGTGAGGTTTGTAGAGACTGTGGGCGGGGACCCTGTAGGGAGTGAAGCTAGCGGCCTGGGGCACACCCCCTTAGCTACCCACTCGTGCATCCAGCTCACCCCGGGGCCTTAGGCACACGCGTGTGCCCGTCCACATTCTCGCGCGCGCACACACCCTGGGGCTCAGTCACACCTGCCCTCACCCCGACACGGTGCAGTCCAGCCTGTCGCACACCCTCTGCGCCCTCCGCAGGGGTCACCCGCCCCAGCGCGCAGAGGCCGCATGTCCGGTGCCAGCCGGGGCTGCGAGCCCGGAGGTGAGCACGGCTGTTTGCGCAGCTAGGTTGCATCTGTGTACCCAGCCGGGCGCAGCGACCGCCCGCGGCGCTTATCTCCGGCAAACACAGCGCCCGGATCCGCCGGAACCGCCGGAACCGCCAGCCCCACCGAGGCCTCGCGGCCTCCATTAATGCGCCCGGCGCAAGGGAACCGCTCAGCGCGCTGCCGCGCTTATCCGTCATCGCTGATAAGGACCGGAGGGGCGAGGTGCGGCCGAGATCCTGCCCTCAGATCCCAGAAGTGATGGGGTCGCTGCTGGGAGTGGGGGCAACCCTAGAACTTTCCCAGCCCTCCCCCACCCATATTAACCCCTTCCCAGTCAGCCCTTCTTCCGTCCCCGCCGCCTGGCCGGGGCTGTGGCCATCGGCTCTGGCCGACCCGTGTGCACCTGTCTGCCCCGGCCTCCTTCTCCCGAGGCCGTCTACGCCGGCAGGGTCCCACCTCTTGGCCTGGATGACCCAGGGAGTGAGAACCCGAGGCTTGTTAGGAATTCCTAAACAATTAGCATTATGCCCTGCCGCAGCCACCACTAATAATAACAGGGGGCCCAGCAGAGGGCGTAGCAGTTGCGTGGCTGGACTCCCACAGATCCAGAGAGGAGAACAGAGAAGGGATTGCGGTTTGGCCATCCCCCTGGGGGCAATTTCTCACTTTCTCTCTCAGTGTTCTGTCTCCCTCTCTCTCCAAGAGCCGGTGCCCTAAGGCAAAAACCTCTTTCAAAAGGACAACAACAATATCTAATTTAACAGGGGCTTAATTGGGGCACAGGCCGGCAGAGAAGCCTTACTGACATCTGATTTGATTTTCTCAGTAGTTCAGTGAGGGTGGAAGTGCTATCCCCATTTCACAGAGGTGAAAACTGCTTACTTAGGTTGAAAATCTGAGGATGCCCAGCTGCTCAGTGGCAGGGTGGGGATTTGAACCCAGTGTTGTCTAAACTCAGAGCCTGCACCGGCCTTTTTCTAAGAGACTAGCAGGTTAACCCAACCTCCTCCCTTTACAGTTGAAGAAACTGAGGCACAGCCCAAAAGCAGATCCCCAGCTCTCCTCTGCAGTGCCTCTTCAACGCCCTGCCCCTTCTGGGAGTCTGACTCTGAGGTTATCGAAATCGATTGTCTCTAAATCTAGTCTAGGGCTTGGCAGGCTCATTAATTCTTGATTTTGCTCTTAATTAAATCCTGTCTGGTTGCATGAGGTGGTGGATGCCAGCATGACTTTGTTTGTTTCTCTTCCAAACTTGTAGGAAAGTGGTTCTGTTACTTTTATAATGCAAAAGGAAAGACTCTTCTAAGTATAAAAGCAATGAAAGGAACATCAAGGAAATTTTAATAAATTTGACTGTATTAAAATTTAACACTTCTCTGTACAGAAAAAGACTAAATTAGAAGGCAGCCCTCCTGGAACCAGTAGATGGTGTAATGGTTATGTCTCTGGACTCCTGTGTAGTTGACAGCGGTTCAAGTTTCAGATCCAGCAGCTTAAAATCTCACACCGGGCATGTGTGTGTGCGTGCCCCAAATCCCAAGAGGAGAATGGAGGAGAAGAGATTGCAGCGTGGCCTTCCCTCCTGGGGGTGATTTCTCACTTTCTATGTCTTTGTCTCCAGTGAGCACTTGTGCCCTATAGCAAAAATCTGTCTAAAAAAACTTTAAATGCAGCCCTCCTGCCAACCAGTGGCATGCATGGTGGTTAAGGCAGCTGGATCCCACATGGTCGACGGCATGGTTCAAGTCGCAGACCCAGCGGCTTGAAAAACACTGCAGGCGTGTGTATGTGCATGCCCAAAATCCTGAGAGGAGAATGGGGAGAAGGAATTGCAGTGTGGTCATCAAAGCCATTCTCCTGACAAGTGATTTCTCACTTTCTCTCTGAAGTGTATGTTTTCTATGGCAATCTGGGGGGCGGGGAGGAGGAATCACACTCCTAAAAAGGGAAAGAATGCAAATTTCCAAAACATCCAACAACAGATAAATTATAGTATACGAAAGACATAGTATTCTTTTCTGTTTGTTTTTGCTATAGGTTTTGTGTGCTCATGGGGGAGGGGGTAAGAAATCATCCCTCCGGGCATGGCCATGCTTCAATCCCTTCTCCTCTAGTTTCACCTCGGGATTTTGGGCACACACACATGCATCTGGTTTGATTTTCAAGCCACTGAGTCTGGGACATAAGCCACACAGTCATCCATGGGGAATCCACTGTTCCAAACTCCATGCCACCTGCTGGCCCCGAAAGAAGTAATCTTCTAATGAAACTATAAAAAGCCATGTTTTAGAAAACTCTTAAATGACATGGAAATATTTATAATATATAAATTACATGGACAAAAAAAAAAAAAAAGGACAAAATATAATATATGTAGAATGATTCCAATTTGTAGAAACTGTATTGCTTATGCATAGAAACCCTGTAGGATTATTCTATATATAAATATGTTAAGAGTGGTTAAAGGCACTGGACTCCCATATGGCCAACCATGGTTCCAGTCCTGGACCTGGTGGCTTCCTTTTTCACTTTCCCTTTCTCTCTCTAATCAAACTGGAAAATAAAAACAATAATAAATAAAGCTAAATAAAATATAATTCTTTTTTTTCGAGATATGTAAAAATGTTTTATTTGCAAGGGCGCAGGAGTTTAATCAAATAGGCCAAATCCCATGTCATCGTCTGACCCTTCAGACTCCTCCTTCTCCTCATCTTTCTTCTCTTCAGCTGCAGCAGGGGCAGAACCAGCAGCAGGGGCTGCAGAGCCTGGAGCCGGAGCCACAGACACAGCCACAGCCACACCAGCGGGCACACTGGCCAGCTTGCCAATACCCTGGGCAATGACATCTTCAATGCTCTTCCGTTCAGCTCACTGATGACCTTGTTGAGCCAGGTGTCATCCACCTCGATGCCCACGATGCCCACACTGTCCAAGATCTTATTGCTGTCCTTGGCGCTGGGGGAGGTATCCCCCCTCCAAGGAGGCGACGTAGCGCATCTAGGCAGCAGCAGACAGGCCTCCTCGTGGGTGTGACCTTGGCAGCTTCGAGGAGCGAAAGTAAAAAATAATTCTTAAAAAAAATAAATAAAAGAGACACATGGCTTCGGCCTCCTCTGTGGCCCTCTCGGGCTGTTCCTGCGGCTGGTGGGGCAGCTGAAGAGAGTCCCACAGACTGGTTGGGTGTACAGAAATGTCAAGAGACCAGAGAGTGTGTCAGATCACATGTATCGGATGGCTGTTATGGCCATGGTGACCAGAGATGAGCATCTGAACAAAGACCGATGTATACGTCTAGCCTTGGTTCACGATATGGCAGAATGCATCGTTGGCGACAGCACCAGCAGATAACATCCCCAAAGAAGAAAAACATAGGCGAGAAGAGGAAGCTATGAAGCAGATAACCCAACCTCTTCCAGAGGACTTCAGAAAGGAGCTCTATGAGCTTTGGGAAGAGTATGAGACTCAATCTAGTGCAGAAGCCAAATTTGTAAAGCAGCTCGACCAGTGTGAGATGATTCTTCAGGCATCTGAATATCAAGATCTGGAGGACAAACCCGGGAGACTGCAGGACTTCTATGACTCCACCGCAGGAAAATTCAGTCATCCGGAGATAGTCGAGCTGGTTTCTGAACTTGAGGCAGAAAGAAATGCTCGCATAGCTGCTGCTGCCGCCAGCGAGCCACGCTCCTGAGATGCTCTTAACTCGGCCGCACTCCTGGGACAGACATTTTATTTTTCCGTTTCATGGTACTGTGTTTTGCCCCTGTTGGTCTGTAGATTTTTCCCAGATGCAGTCTGTTCATTTTCAGTTGTCCGAACCACTGTAAGAAACGTGATGTAATTTGGCCACCAAAGGAGGCCACCATACAACAGCAGGAGTGGATGTGAAATGGATGAACGTGGATGGAGACCAGAGGGAAGGGTGCCTTTTTTATGAATGAAATAAATAAATATCGAACAACAACAACCAAAAAGAGTGGTTATCCCTCAGGGTGAGATTACAGATGATGTTTTTCTTTATTTCTGTAGTTTTAATGCATTTACAATGACTACTACTTTTATAATAAAAATATTTTGAGAAGAATAAAAGAAATGTGAACCAAAAAAACATGTATATAATTCAAAAGCACTGTTTCTTGTTTTATTGGCACTGTAACTCGGGCCCGAGGACACCAGGTTCCTAAAGATTTTTGAGGGCAGGGGACCCTACTTGCTCCCCTGGGGTGGGGTCCTGCCCACAGGGACCTCTTCCCCACCAGGACCCTCTTGCCCAAACTCCTATTGCCACTCTCTTCTTTCCTGCCTTCCCACTCAAGGCAGAGTTTCCCCTGTCTTGTCATAAGGTCCCAGGACCACAAGTTAAGGTCTCCCACATTCCCACCCAGCCCCCAGTGCCAAAGCTTGACCTAGATCCCTCTTCCTGTACCCTCTTTCAATCCCCTCCCGACTCTGCCAGGAAGAAGAGTGAGGAAGGAAGCCCAGAGGAGCTGTGGTCTCAGCAGGGAGAAAGCAGAAGCCGGGTGCAATGTGTGGGAGAGACAGCCGCAGGGCAGCGGGGCAGCGGGGCAGGGGCAGCACAGGGACTCAGGACTGCCAGGAGCAGGCAATAGGACCGGGGTAGCCCTGCGGCCCATAAAGAGAGAAGTGAGTGCACAGGTCTTCCTGCCCTGAGGACGCATGCTCATGTGTACAACAGGATTTCAGAGAGTTTATGGGAAAATGAAATTAAAATAGGAGTTTATTTTGGTGCAAAAGGTTTTAAAGTCCATGCATAGTTTTTTCATAATATGCACTTCCCACGAACTTTCCGAAGACACCCTCCCCCACACACACCTGTGTCTGGGAGAGGACACTGGGAGTGATTTTGTTATCGGTTTTAGCTTTTGCCACAGGGCACATGCACTTGCTGGAGAGAGATAGTGAGAGGGAAAGTGAGAAATCACTCCCCAGGGGGCACGGCCACTCCATTGTCCCTTCTCCATTCTCCTCTTGGGATTCTGGGCACGCACATACACGGGCATGGCACAATTTTCAAGTGGACAGGTCCGGGACTTGAGCTGCAGTCGGCCATGTGGGAGTCCAGCGCCTTAATCATCACACCACTGCTGGCCCCAGCACTAGGCATGTTTAGAGGAGCTGGTGCTCACCTTTCCCCATGACTAGCCCCAGAGCTGCTCCCTGTGCACCCCTGGTTTCTGTGACCTTGCAGCTTAAAGGAAGGGTTCATTTGCGTTTTGGGATACCTGCCCTACAGGCCTGCACTGGAATCCCAGCTCTACCACCCACTGCTTTTCAGCAAAGCCGCTTTATCTCCCTGAGCCTTGGTTTTCTCATCTGTCAAGTGGGACGAGTAATACCCACGTACAGTCCTCATAAAGACAGCACATAATGGAGAAAAATCACAGAGTAGGAGTCCGCTAAGCTGTACCCACAGCTGCTGTGCCTCCCTGGGACTCACACCACAGCCCCTGGCAGGGAGCCTGCGTGTTCCTGCCCTCCGCTTGTTCTCCGCTTGTACCTGGATTCTCATGCTGAGCTGCCAAACTTTTTTTTTTAAGAATTATTTTATTTAACTTTAGTTTATTTATTCATTTTTTTTATTTTTAATTTGCCTAGAGAGGGATAGAGAGAGAGAGAGAGAGGGAAAGTGAGAAAGCAAGCCGCAGGTCTGGGACTCGAATCACGGTTGGCCATGTGGGAGTCCAGCACCCTTAACCACCACACTACCAACAAGCCCCTTGTTTTTATTTATCTTTTAAATGTGCTAGCTGGCATACATGCTCACCAGAGAGAGACTAGGGGTGGGGACAGAGTGAGAAGGCACCCCCTCAGGGGAAGGGGCATGCTGCAATCCCCTCTCCTTTTTTTCTTTCAAGATTCCAAGCATGTATGCACGACCTGGTGTGTTTTTCCAGCCACTGGGTCTGGGCCACAGGGGATTCAGCTACTTTAACCACCATGCCACCGGCTGGCCCCACAAATCCCAGTTGCGCATGTTTGCTACCTGGTAGACACAGTGCTAAGCATTTTACACTCAATCCCCACAGTAGCCCTATGCGGTCCCTGTTATTTAGCTCTGCTTTGCTGATTTAATTTAAAAAAAAAAAAAAAAAGAGGCTCAGAGAGGCTAAGCAACCTGCCCCCGGCTC